TAAAACACAAAACAACCAAGTCAATTCTCCCACCATATTACATCTTCTTTCAAATGATTTCCATGCCTTCTCTTTTCTCATATACAAGCCTTGATCCACGCCTTTGAATCCTCAAGAAGAAGTCCATATGCTCATGACTCACAAAGCAAATAATTAGAATAAACCCCTTGGATGGAGAATAAACTTGAAAATATGCTCATGATAGCCATAAGATTAAACCTTAAGCACAATAGACGAAAACCTTGACCATTTGATAAGCGTATGGAAAGAAACCCTAATTCATGAATTTGGTGGATCCTGGTGAAAAATAGCCTTTGAAGAAGAGGTTCCTGACAACCACACTTCCAAAACCCTAATTCACAGCTTAGATGCTCGAAACCAAGCTTCGTTGGACGTATACACCTCAATTCACTTGTAAAATCCTAGCTTGTACGTCCATTGAACTTTTGAACCTTAAACACTTTATTGAATGAAAATGCATGCTATATTAGTGCGGATGACCTAATCAAAAGATGTGAATGCAACCTTAAGCCTAAGCCAAACAACAATAACTTATGAGGGCAAATTTTAGAGTGTAACATTATATCCTGAACTGACTATCCCAAAAGGTTGAGATATTTGGCTAAAGTTCATGAATGTCACTAATTTTTTCTTTTGAATGTTATATATGCATGCTATTATGAAACTCTGAATGTATGCATGTGCCAATATGCTCACCTGACAAATTCTATGTACATTTCTCAATTTCTTTAAAAAATTATTATTTTTATAGTATGTGATTTATTTAAATTTCTATTTCTATTTTTGGAACTTACTTGTGTGCATAGTTTTATTTACTTTTAAACTTGCATAACCATATAAAAGTTAACAATTCTTTTAACATATATTACAAATGAAGATGGAATAGTAATTGATGCAAACATATGTCATTTATGCGAAAGAGAAAAGCTTTACTTTTCACCTATTATGATTTATATATGTTGTGGCCACTCCACCAAAAGAAGAAAAACATATTTCCTCATAAAAGATGAGGAATTTGATGCAGAGTGTTGCTTTTTCTCTTTGTGTTATAAGATATATAATAGGAGGTGCATCACAATTAATGAGACCTCTTTTTCTAAGGCAAATCTTGAAAAAGTAGATAGGAAAAAGTTAAAGGAAGTGAGAATCTTGATAAGGTAATAAAGAGAAATCGACATGTATGCACATAAACTTAAAATATCGTAATAGTTTATGCAAGCAGGTAAATTGAAAATAGTAGTAAATTAGTTTTTTTTTCCATGTTATTTATTATTGATTTTTCTAAAGGAAATTCAAATTGATTTAAAAATTATAGAATATTTTCATGTTCTCTATCATCATATTGGACACCTTGCTTTTTTGTAAGAAAAGGGGTTTCTCAACTTATTACAAATGGGCAATGTCCTCTTTCAAAAAGAGATGACTATATACTATATTGTCATCCCAAAGAGAAAGAGACTTCAAACAATGATAAGCTACACTCTTTGTTAGGCTTTCTTAATTTGAGAGAACTATTTTCCTTTTTTATCTTTCACATTTTCAAAAACTAACACTACCATGTTATCATAGAATATTTATATTGTTTGTTTATGCAAGTATCTTTGAATACTAAAAAAGGATATTGAAGACAAAAGTGTTGGTTAAACCTAAAGGTGTGAAGAAAACGTAAGAAAGAGAGGTTTGAATTGGGTTTTCCTTTCTTGTATAACTTTCGCTTCTAAAGTTTTTAAAAATTAAAATATGTTAAAATGTAGTTGCTGAATTTCGAAGGCGTGTCCTCTAAATACTTTACCTATCAGTTTTCAGTAAAACCTACAAAATATATGATATTTTTAATAAAAAATGTGACTTGTCTATGGCTTACACTTTGTTTTTTTATGTGAGGTGCATGTTCTGTCATAAAAATCGTTATTTCTATAGCGAGTTGATCCAATGACATCACCAAAATGTTTAACATAAAAATTTAAAAATCTTCACTTTAGAGCCACCGAGATGTTCTCTAACAACATTATTGTAACTCGGGTTCTCATTAAGATAACAAATTAAGACAAGGTGAGAGGGGTAATAAGTAATAATTGAAAAAAGAAGGATTGTTGATGGGCCAACAATCCATCCAAATTGTGCTAAAACCCATGACATTGACCACAAATCTCAGGCTGATGAAAGCATAACCCATGTTAATGGCATGAGCTATACTTTCATTAGCCTGGTCTATGTTGTCAAAGCCATGTGTTTTAGTCCAACGTGGATGGATCCTTGGCCCATAAAAATTATTATTTTTCAATTATTAGTTATTATACTTTCCATTTTCTCTTCGATTAAATTCTTAATGAGAACCAAAATTACTCTAACATTGTCAAAGAACGTCTTGATGGATCTTAAGTGAAGGTTTTAAATTTTTTAAATATGTTAGTCTCTTTGGACCTTCCATGTCCTTAGTCATAAGAGTTTCCTTTACTCACTTGGCCTCCAACTTCATGCCAATGACATTCACACTCACAATACTACTCTTTTTCAACTTCAGGCTCTCTATGTAGCATTTCTTAGCAATCTCGTGATCTTTTTGGATAACCCTAACTCGCCCATTTGGGAGCGAGCACTTCATACATAGATACAATATAGATAGGAAAAATCCTAGCTCGTTAAAGGCGAGGAACCCTATAATCATGCTATATGGGAAAGACACATCAATAACAAGATACATTACCTTAATTTTCTTTACATTTTTTTCTAATTCAAAGTAAGTATTTAATGTTATATAACGTTTCACCTACATTTGTTCGCTCGAAAATCCCACCAATCATCATCATTATGTGGGAGAATACTTGCATCATCCTTATTAGAAAAGGCTTTTAGAGTTTCTAAAGGTTCTAACTCGCCCATATCAGAACTAACAGGTGAACCTTCATGGTTAGAATTTGGAGATCATATCTTTTATGGGAGGAAAAAACCTCTTCACCCTCAGCAAATCATCATACAATGGTTTTAAGAGTATGAAGGACACCTTTGTCGATGCATTTGCTTGGTTCTTTCCATTTCTTGGATCCAGGACTCTAAGAGGCATCCCGCCTCAAAAAGTTAGATCTGTCAGGCCCTCAAGAAGAGTCATCATTGACATACTTCTTTAGTGATTTTTTTGAGCTGTTAGCATAAGAGGTGCACTCTTTCACATATTAGGCTTTCTTTTCAGCATTGCTTTCCTTTTTCCTTTAATGTAATATTCTACCCGTGTTACTACTTCGACCATGGACACCGTTGACCTCTGGGCGATGGATTCATTTAAGTGTTCCACACTGAGTCCATTACTAAATGCTCATATGAATATTTTATTTGTGATGAATTACCTTGATTGTCGCCTCATTGAAGCGGGCGAGGTACTCCCTTAGAGATTTAGAAGAACCTTGATGAATGTTGAAGAGATTGGTGCGACCATCTTTTTATGTCAGCTTGTTGTAAAATGATGGACTAGTTTGTTCACTAAATATTGATAGTCGGCGATGGAAAGTCGAAGCATGCCAATATACCTACTTAAGACTTCGTATCTGAAATTGCTAGGAGCTTGCAATTCAAAGAGTCAAAGACTCCAATGATGACCATTTGCATGTTGATTTTTTAAAATACTAAAATGTTTTAATATTTTTTTCAAAATACTATTTTTTAAATTAATTATTTATAAATTAAAATATTAATTTTGACATTTAGTAACATAAATATACATTATTATTGAAGATTAAAATAGTTAAAATCACATGATTTTCAAAAGGATATATCTGAAAAATAATTCTTATGAAAAACTATTCAAAATAATCTAAAGTTTAAGTTATTTTTTTTTAAAATTTTGATATCAAAAAAAATTAGAAAAAAAAACCTAAAAATAATATTTTATAAAAAATTATTCAAACTAATTTTTTATTTGAAATCCTTTTTGAAAAATAATCTATAACTTTTTTAACAAAAATGTATAACTATAAAAAACATTAAAAATTGCTGATATTTAATATTTAATAGTTAATGAACATTGCACTCTAAATGAAAAAGACAAAATTTTAACATTTGAAAATGAATGATACATTGATAGTATAAATTAATTTTATACTATCAATTCATTATGACCATGTATCAAGACATATTATTTTTTTAATTAATTTTTTTAAATTAAATAATAAATTGTTGATTTATTATTGGATGACGATTTAATATTGGATGACAGTTATCCATTAAACCCTCTCAATCATGTTAATAAAAAAATAGTAGTCTACTTAACCTAGTTGAGGTGTTTTGAAGAAGAAAATCGTGAAAGTGTGGGATGGAAGTGAAAAACAGCTTAGCAGCGAGAATGTGAAAAAAGGAAGGTGAAAGTGAGATATTATTTTTTATTGGGCTAACTTTCCTAAGGTCCAAAACCCAGAAAAAAATAGCCCAAACTTGACTTTTGACCCATTCAATCACCATAAGAAATCACAAACCCTAGAACGTTCTCTTCCGTTTATAAATACATGGTCTAATTTCTCACTCCTTCACCACGTTTCAATAATTATCTTGCTCTAATTTCTCAGTTTTATGAAGCGAAGATTTCTCTATTTTCCTTCTTGTTTAATTTTCCTCGTATGTTATTGTGATTGTGTTGAAAATTGGTTAACTTTCATAGATGCGTGCACAATAAGCCGATGGTCTGGATCTGGAAAATGAAGGAACCATGGTTGTGTGCACGCAAATCGATGTCCTTAGGTCCGCATGTCTGCTCTCTCTGATTCCTGATTTGATTTGAGGGCCTGGTAACGACCTACATTTCTATTTCTCTTCTCTTTCTTTTTATTTTTCCGATTTGCCTGTGATGTATCATATTTGTCCGTACCATCTGAGATTTCTTCTCTGATTGAGACACCAATTCTTGAATCTGAGGCTTCTTCAATTAACTTTTTTCTTTCTTTTGATTTCTTGTATAAATTTTAGGCAACAATTTAGAGTCTCTGTTTTGCTTATTCGATAGCGATTTCAGTGCTGTACGTTGCCGATACTAATTGGAACATTTGATTTGCTTCATTGGTCTTCTTAGGCTTTTGCATTCTGATGTTCCTACAATTTTTTATATTAATTAAACTGTGTTTTAATGATTTCTTATATTTTTCGTTTTTACTGACCTCCGATCTTTTTATTTTCATTTAGTTGAATTTTAGAAAGCCTCCAATTCGCTTTAATGTGCTGTATTAGCAATTAAACCTTTCATTAGTTGTATCAATTCTGACGGCATTTATGATCATTTACATCCTCGACAAGCATTTTGATTGAAAATGATAAATTCTCACCAATTTGAATGTAACTGTTTGTTTTGAGATTGTTTATTGGAAAATGTTGTAATTGAACACTAATTTTTCATACTGTATCAGCAAACCTCGTTTCTGGGCACAATAGTCTGTTTGATTTTAGTACCATATTTTTTTTGCAGTATCATCATCATTACCACCCGATTCCTTGACGAATGCCTCCAAATTCTGAGTCAACCCAGATAGATATTTTCCATGGAAACCAGATAGACTCTTAGTCACATGAACTGCAATATAATTTTTGTTACTTGTCACCATCTATCTGACCATTCAAAATTTAAACAAAAGATTATAAGATATTGGATAACTTCGACAAAAACGCAGGGTATTGATTTTGCAAGGCTGATAGCATAAATAGCTTGTTCCTCCATGCTATATTTGACTAAAATTACTGCAATCCATTTAAAATATAGGTTCCACTAAAATACAATAGTCGAAACAATCCTTCATCGAATGCTAGTAAACCAACTAGCAACACCCAATAAGGATTTAAGAAACAGTCTATGCGGTTGGATAGTCACAAGAAAAATGCAGACCATTGAAAAGATAAAAAGAAACAACGGGATTATAATTAAATGGGGTATTGACAAAAGGGGGAAAAGTTCACAAATAAACATAATCTTCTCAGACTGCTTGAACTTCCAAATAAAAAAAGTATGAGAAACAAGGTGTTGTCCACAGAAGCTCATGGCTTACATTGTCCACTGAACTTGGGTTTTATATTCTCTAGAATCTCCACCTATTAAAAGTGCAAGGAAGCACTCTAGCCAAAATACAACAATATTTTGTCAATAACAACAATCAATAACAGTATTTCAACACCATAATTCGTAAAAAATACAAGTGAAAAAGGAAAAGAAATTTGGTTTAGGTAATTTACTTAACAACAATTACAATCATACGCTACTAGGTAATTGTACACTCAGAAGTAGTGTACAATTCGCAAAAATGGTTGATTTATAAATCACAACTTGCAACAACAATAACAATCATTATTTCAATATCATGAAGTGAAAGAATTGAGTGAAAAAAGGCGAGAAATTGGTTTAAGCATTTTATCAAATACCTTGTGGGCAAGACTAAAAGCTGAGTTCTTCTACATTAGATGTGAAATTATAGTGTTAGTGAACATATCTATCATTTCACGCTCCATCCTAGTAGCCATCTTACGCTACTTCTGAGTGTACTCTTTAAAGGATTTATTTTGTTTGAGATAAATTTTGAAGTTGGGTTTTTGTGGGTGCCATATTAGTATATATACCACTAAAATAGTCCACCGGTTAAATTGTCTTGGAAAATGTGTATAAGAAGCTTTTCATCATCAGAATAGACTGATATCCTCATGTAATAGGATCTGATATACGTCTTAGGACAAGAGGTGTCCTTGTTTTTGACAAAATCTGGCACTTTGAATTTTGGAGGAATCTTCACTCTTGAGACCAAACCCAAATCAGATATGTCAAGGCCCATAGCACCTTGATTCTCAAACAATCGCATACGCTCCTCAAGTATACACATCTTTTTGTCAGCTTTGGTTTGCTCATCAACATGCCTTGGTTGAACAAAGTATTGCTCATTATGTTGTTGAGTAGGAGTGAGTGAAGGCAGATTATTTCCCATAACTTGGACCATGAGCATGCCTTGATTAGCAGCTAGAATACCAAGATTCATAACTTGACCATTCTGAAGACTAAGACCAGCATTTGCATTCAGATCCATATTCTGAGTGCCGTTTGGGTTTCCATTCACATTCTGACCACCATTCAAGTTCTGGGCACCTTGGTTGCCATTTAGATTCTGAGCACTATTTATGTTATGCCCACCTGGATTATCGGCTGGACTGTTAACAACAACCCCTTGAGGATCGACAATCAAAGTCTCATTCTCATTACTCACAGTCTCAACAGGCCTCACTATCAAGGCTCTCATCTCTTCCTTTTGACGAGCCATGTTCTGGATAATCTCCATCAACTGGTCCACACGAGTGTCTATCTTGACACCCATAGTAACAACATCTGCCTAAATTTTTTCCATTTGTCTTTTGGAAGTACTCTGAGTATTGTAACGGTGCAAGTTTGTAGTAACAATTTTTGAAAAGAAAACCCAGATCGATGATAAGAAAACCAACAGGAACCATCTGTCATGATATGATATGCATGAATGAATAATCATGCATGAAATGTTTTATCATTTCCAGGGCGCCCAAGAATTTTGTCATATACCGAAAATATCAAACAACATGATAAGAGATAGACAAAAATAAATGAAAAAGCACAAAAACAATAACGACCACTTTCATTCATGAAATCTCAAGCCAATTGAGTTTATACAAGATGATCAGTCAAAATACGACAAAAAAAAAACCCCGACCAATAAACCTGGCGGAGGTCTTTTACCACAAAATGAAATAACAAACAAACATCAAATTCTGCATAGTCTGGAAACATCATATTTACATCTGGCCCTTGAGCCTGGCTATTTCTTTGACGACCCGTGACAACAGAGTACCACACCCTTTGAGATCGTCCTCTGCTGCAAGTCTCTAGTTGACTTCTGCTTTGAGCAGAGCATCTTTGTCTCAGAGCTGCTTCTCTAAATATTTGATTTTGGCTTCATAACGCTTTTCCCCTTCAGCCTTGAACACCCGAAGTATGTCTCTATCTCAACAACTCTGCTTGTACTTCTTATCAATAGCAGCAACAACTCTTTGTGATCTTCAAAAGCAATAGAATCGTCTTCACCTCTGGATCTCTTAGAAGTGCAAGCTTTCTCAGATTCTTTGAGTTTGCGTGCTAAATCTTTCTTATCTTCACTTAGAAAATAAGGATCCATCTCTTTGGCTCTCAGGTCGATGTGAAGATGCTTCGCTTTGCACTTAGTAGAAGCGTTCTTTGGGAACATCATGCTACAACTTGTCAGGTTGCAGGTACAAGGGACATTCCTTTGTAAATGGTAATCGAAGTGTTCTCGTTCTCTCTTCGACCCACTCAACATAAGGTCCACAGGTTGTCAGCTCCCTCTTCCCGAAAAAATCTTTACCTTTTTTGAAGATTTTGGTCCAAGCAATCACTACTCTCTTTAGCATCTCAGGATCTTCCCCTTTCTTGTAAAACACTGATTCACTGATTTTGCTGCTTTTAGGAGGACTCCACATAGCATACCCTAGCTGGCGTAGGGAAAGAACTGGTGTGATACCGTGACAGAATCGACTGTTATACTGGTTTTGCGTTTGCATTCGCAAATATTACGGTAAGCAAGAGTCGCCACCGACTTTTCTTTTGTCCAACAAAGGAAAGAGTGAAAAGAACAGAAAAATACCTTTCGAGATGTTTTCTGAGTAAGGGGGGTAGATTATGGAAAGGGAAGGTGTTAGCACCCTTTCCATCCTTAGTTTTCAACGGGCTCTTAGATGCTTAGCTCACTCTGAAAAAAATACCTTGTGCTTTGTGTGTTTTTGAAAAGTATTTTTGAAATGCCAATAGTCAGGCAGTTTGCTTTATGATAACTTTTGTATCAGTCCTCAAGAGTGTTGATAAAGCATTTGAAAATGTTTTTGAGAGTGTTTTGTGTATGTGTAAAAGTTTGTTTTTTAGCAAGCATCTAGGAACTATCTACTTTACTCGAAAGGGTCGTTCTTTTCCTATTTTCCTTTAGACAGTGCTATCCTACTATTAGTGAGTAGGTAGCCCTGGTCGTTGGATGTTTGCGGGACATTCGAAGGTACATTTATAGTCACAAAGGCAACTGGGCAAGAAATTTTAGTAACTACCCTAGGGTTCTAAGATCATTTTTACCGAGGCAACATTGAGAGGGTCATTTTTCATCTTTAAATCGGAGGGTAGCCACTAAAATGTCTCACGTTTCGAGAGTTGTGACTGTTTTCCGAAGGCAACCAAAGTGGGGGTACCCTAAAGGTGCGCATGTGCAATTGTGTTGTATTTCAGTTATTTATCTTGATGTTAAGTTTGCTAACATTTTGTTTTTAATTTCTTGCCATGCAATCCTATTACCATACATCTAAATAGTTAATATATGTACAGGAATTAAAAGTGCGGTAATTGTAAATCCTAGCTATTACAAGGCCTCGGGGAGGGAGATTAATTACATATCCAAAATTGGGGAAAATAAAAGCAGTAAATATCCTAGTTTTTAACTATTACAAACCGAGAAGCAGATACAATAATAATAATGCAAAAGTAATTAAATGCGCGCGAATTGAAGATAACATCTAAAACTAAAAGAAAAAAATCTTTTTGTTTGTTTTTGTTTTGTTTAATAAAAGAGAAATAAAAATCTAAGTCTAGACTTAATTTTAATTTTAAAAAAGTGTTAAAGTTATTAATTAGTTAATTAACTTATTTGAGAAAATGCTAACCTAATATTTTTTGTGATGTTTTTGATTTAATGTTGATTAAAAAAAGTAAAGCCATTAAAAGAAATAAACAACACAAAATAAAAGTACAAATGGGCCAGGACAACAAATACAAACAGGGGGGGTGTAAGTCTAAAAACGCAGGCCCAAATCAAGGAAGAAGCATGGGTTGCCTTCTGACACAATGAGGGAGTCTGCCTTTCGATCCAAGGAGGGGGCTGCCTTTTGATCCAAGAAGGGGACTGCCTTTCAATCTGGATCTGCAAGATAATTGTTAGAAAAACAAAGCAAAATTCCAAACTTGGGTCGAATCTGGTCTTGGATTCGACATATTGTGGCTGTGTCATCCTAATTTGAACACCCCGAGTCTAAATCAAAAGTTATTTTGTCTTGAAACGTCAAGAATCATGAGATTCGATGGAAGATATAAATCATGCCCAAGCAATGGAACAATCTCATCCCTGCA